GCCAATTTCATGCTTCTTTGAAGCTACTGTTTTACACGAGATGGGGGAGGAGAGAAATATCACTAGATGGGGGCGGAGAGAGTGCAGGAAGATTCCCTTTCCTTGGTATAAAAATTTGCTTTCATTGAGATTCACATTGGGAACAAATTTAAATTAAAGAAAGAAAAAAATTTAAATTAAAGACAGATAATAAGATCAAATAACATGTAATTTCTAATCCCAAGTAACTTTCCTGTAAAAGAAGATCTGGTAAATGCATTTTCACTGGGGTTGCCATTAGTTAAAAATAATTTAACACATTGACTTTGTGGTTTGTTAGCAGGAACTGATTGTTAAATGAGTATTTTTAGGCATATCTGGTTTACAGAAAGCCTTACCCACCTAATTGTATCCAACATATGTGCTCCAAATTGAAAACCAAACATAATTTAGGTTATTTTACTTCTCTTTTATTGCTCAAGCAAATAATAAAAATTCATGCATTCAGACAAATACTTAACGAGCAGCTATTATTTGTAGATAGGAGCCCTAATGACATAATGGATAACACATGTTGCTAGCTTGAAGGAGAGTGGTTCAAATCCACCAGTTGGTCCTTGGGAGAAAGATGAGACTATTCCTATAAAGACCTATAGTCTCAAAAACCTTAGGGAGCACTTCTATTCTGCTCTATAGGGTAGGAGTTTGAATTGAATTGATGGCAGTGGGCTTTTGTCTTTGTTTCCTACACGCAGAGCCTAGTATCAGAGGCTAGAGGTCCATGCATGAAGAAGCTACTCTCTCAGTGGCCGATAGGTTTCATTGTAGTGCATGCTCTGTGATAGAGCAAGAGGAAAGAGGGAAAGCCAACTTTGGACTTGAGCAATAAGCATCCCATGCTGTTTTCCTTGACAATAACTCTTAGTTACACTGGTAGCTGCCCATATTTACTATCTCCACTAAGTTTCTCTAGACTCCTCTCTGTCTTAATTCGCAAGGTGCATTGCTCATGGTTCATAGACGTGGTTATAGCCCAGAAAACATGCCTTACCTCACGGGAGAAATGGTATACTGGAGGTGTGGCATCTTGCCAAGTATTGTCAGGAGAAGACTGAGAAGTCAAACTGAGTAATCGTTCAGGCTCATTTTCCTATGGAAAATCCTACCTTCCTTCCTCTCTTCTTCCTCTTTTCCTCCCTTCTTCCTTCGCTACATCCATAGTTATTCCTTCTGTCCCTCCCTGCTTGTCCCCTGCTTGCCTCCTGTCTGGCTTCTTGACATTCTAGAGCCTCTTCTGGAGCATCTTTGTTCTGGCCATTGGTATCCTCTCACCAGCCTCCCGTGACCCTCCCAGGAAGTTCCTAGGCTCAAAAAGTATCTGCTTCTCCTTATCATAACTCTTATTCCTTTATTGTCAGAGAAAACATTTTTTAACCCATTTAGAATAGTAGTTGAATCTTCATTAATTTAATGTATTAAATGCCTAATATAGTAATATAGTGACGTTTAAGAGAATTGTATGTTAATTCCTAAAGCTTATTCAATTAACACTGCTATTAATAATTCAGTTAAGCGTGCGGTGTCAGATCCTTTGGATATAAGATGACTTTTTTGCTTTTTCTACCAGAAAGTATACCACTTTATCTTAAGTTAGAAGAATTTCCCTGGGATCTTGAGAATTATTTATATACTGACTTTTCAGTTGGAATTCATTTTAACAATTTTGTAAAATTATTATCCACTTTTCTTCTGCCTAAGTAGTGTTATGAAGGAATGTAAACAGAAAGTCCTCAGCAATTCAGTCTGTTTAAAACTATCAACTGTTATTGTCACTTTGAGTGATTGAGGTTCAATTTTCCATCTTAATAGACTTCTTATTTTGCATTTTGTGTGTGTATGCATTTCAGACACATTGTCCTTGCTTATGTTTGGATCAAACCTCATCAATCTTCATTTGGAACAGAGGTGTCCCATGGACAGAGAGAGTTCAGGTTGAAGTAGTGTCTGAATGTTTCCTTCTCTTCTGTCTTCTAAAAAGCAGTAAAGTGACTTAAATAACATATAGGCAATAAAACCAAATAACCTGTAATTTCTAATCCCTATGACATGAGAGCATATTACTGGGAGAGTGTCTTTTCAATTGTTCTTATTTTTTTTTGTCTTTTAAGTAGTAACAGTTTCTTCAACTAATATTTATTGCTAGTCCCTTTGAAAGGATAATGATCATGAGAGGAAACTTTGAATTTCAAGTTCATTTGTTATAATAGCATATCTGAAATAACTGTTGGTTCCCTTTCTGCATTATTAATTGCCATCCATTGAAATCCAAATTTAACAACAGGCTATACTTATTCTCTGTCTATATTTAGAGAACATGGACAAATATGTCACATCAATTGCATACTTACTTTTCTGACAGTGCTTCATCAGAGGTCCATGAGGATACCACAACTTGAAGAACATTATGCTGATAGGGAGGTTTGTGTGGACTTTTATTTCCACCTCACATTCCACTTCCTTCTACCTTCAGCCTTACCCTCTGCCCTTGCGTGCACGCACACACGCACGCGGGCACACACACACAGTCACATGCAAGTTTTACAAGACCGTATTCACTTAGATTCTCATTGCTCTTGACAAATATGTATTTATTCCCCCACTCCTCCTTTGCTAAGTAAAAATGGAACCTTATTCTATAGTTACCAGTATCCTATTAGTTAAAGAAGAAGAAAAGAGTAGGGTAGAAAGAAAAGAAACTCTTCGCCCTGATTCTGATGGAGGGGTAAATCTGGTCTTTCTGGGCAGGGTGGCAGGCTAACCTGCAAATTCTTTAATAGCAGCATTTCTTTTATATGTTTAGTTTGCTACCTGTGCACAGGAAACATCTGAATAAAGAATAAAATAGTCCTAGGTGACCCAGTTTCAAAATTTGCTAATGAGTTGTCAGTGGAGTCAATAATACAAAGCACGTGTGGCCGTGGGAATAGTGTCCTCAGAGACACTGAGAGCAGTTGGATGCTATATGACTTCTGCTTCATCTTCTTTGTTAAATACCATCCCCACCCCCAGTGCTAATGCTGTGTATGGCACTTAATATGTGCATATATTCTCCATCTTGGATGTAAATCCCTTATAAAGTAAAAAGAATTGACATAATTTTTACCCAAGAGGAAACTAAGGAGTAGAGACTGAGTTTACATCTATATTTCTACATTAGAAGGAAAAAAGCTATGCTGTTTTAGTGTTTTAGGTTTAGAACAGCTTATCTACTCTTAAAAGATCCTAATTCTTCCTCCTGAGTATGCTAGCCACTTTCATCAACAGTTAAGAGAACCGGCAGCATTTACATTCAATTTTTTTTTGCCTTCTAGAGTAACCTGGTCTAGATTCTTTTTATCTTCCCACTTAGTCAGTTTTGAGTAGGCTATGAAACTACTTTTTGATATTTGACCCAATAGGGGATTTTTCATTTCAAGTACTAGAAAAGAAATAGTCTGACACATTTAATGGTTTGTTAAAGATGACAACTTCCCAGCGAACTTGAATAAAATATTTTCTTTGCCTACCTTTGCTGCTTGTTCTGTAGACACTCACTCTTCCTGCAGCTCCTATGCTGACCCTGGATGAAGCTGGATCCAACAGGGCTGGACTTGCTGCCCTCACCTGGAAATCAGGGGTTTCCACTGACTTTCTTTTTCTTTACAACATATTTTATTTTTATGTTTGTGGAAAAATTGTGCAAAAAATACAGAGTTCCAGCA